TCTCTCTCTCTCTCTCTCTCTCGCTCTCTCGCTTTCTCTCTCCCTCCCTCTTCTCTCTCTCTCTCTCTCTCTCTCTATATATATTTATTTATATTTATTTATCAATTAATTACCTAATTTATTTATTTATTTACTCGGTTACAGAAGGCAACAGAACACAGATCTCATTTGCTGCCAGACGCTGGGTCGTACGCATTCCCCTCGCATGTCGAATATTATTTGTTTATACTTGAACAAAGTGCGCATGTCCTTTTTAAATATGGCGGCTTATTTTGTCTTACTGATTTTGTATTACTGATTATATATTACTGATTATGATGTATTGCTATATTGCACGCATACAGAGGCTACAAGAACTTCGTGTCGGTGATGGGTGGCGGAAAGGGAACATGTCGTGGATTTCCGTGCATACACAGTCAGCTTGGCTCGAAGGTAGGTGTCCACTGATGTAGACCATGGATCTTAGATGTTAGACTGCCTATATATATATATATAGGGGGTCACACACTGATGTCCGCTCTCTAGAGGTGGTTAATTGTATATGACCGATACTCGAGAGAAACGGCGAAAGTGCCCCGTGTACCTAGACATGTGTTCGTTCTATAGAGATGATTTTGCTGTATAATAACTGTCACGTAACAGTATCTTTTATAGATAGGTGTCCGTTCCACATATGTTTACGCTAAGTATTGTGTACACACCGTTCACGATCACGGTATACGCGTTTGTATTTGCCAACTCGTCAGGGCTTTGCTCCCGATAATATAGGCCTAAATATAGGCCTATTGTTGTTTGTCCTAATCATAGAAATAAAATACTAGGTAGTGTCTCTATATATTTCTATGATCCTAATCCCTATGCTTCCTGTCGCGTCGCAGGTAGGGATGGAGACTATGTATCGGGATTTTGTGGGAGAGCTGGTCAGGTCCTGTATGGGAGACCCGCACTGTTCTCCCGGTAGGCGGCGCCGCTAGACCAACAACGCATCGATCTAACAATGCAACAGAGCATCCGCGGTAAACATAAGCAGACGATAATGTAATAAGCCAGTTCGTAGTTACAGTCTGCGCATGCGCGAACATTGCCACGAATTCTTCTGGGTCAGGTCATTTGTGACAAAATATTTCGTATTTCGACCGCACAGTACGCAATGCGGCATACGCATGCATCTGTGTCGTTGTAATGCTACAGTCTTCACGTGTGCACGTACACGTGTTTATGCTACCACAGATAGAGATGTCTAGTATTATTGACCATGCATCAAAGATTATCCACAGCAACCACTTGGATCACAGTAAGTTCTTCTGTGAAATTTCTCCCCTATCTCTAACGTACATCCATCTTCATGTAAAAGTTTATTAGAGTATAAGAAGTTTTTCATAGGTAATTAATCTCGCATGGCTACATCCAGTTATAAAATTAATTTAGCTAATTACACGTCTGCTGTACCTTTCCAGTTATTACACTAATAAAGGGTAAAGTGGAAGACGTGTCACTACCTGATGGTATAGAGAAGGTAGACATCATCGTTAGTGAGTGGATGGGCTACTGCCTCTTCTACGAGTCAATGTTGGACACTGTATTGTATGCCAGAGACAAATGGTTGGTAAGTACCAGGAGTAGATCTCAGTGTTTACGGATCTTAAACGTATTCGCCGGTACTTATCCAAATTTCAGTTTTAAAGCCAACTTGGTCGTGCATTTTTTGACACAATCTCGAGTAGTGGTAACCATTCTGTACAGTAGTCACTGCCCTACTGCCAGCACAAGGCAGGCAATGTTAGACAGCAACTCTGTCTTTAATTACTTGTATATGTATTAGCTGTCTTATGGCCATGTTTGATACTGACTAGCTTTCCCGTGTATACAAAATGACTGTGTGTAATGATGCTGGCTTGCAATGTATCTGAGGTGAGTCTGTGGCTGATTGTGTGCGTGTGTGTTTGCAGGCAGATGATGGGCTGTTGTTTCCGGACAGGGCAACTTTGTACATATGCGCGATAGAAGACAGACAATACAAAGACGACAAGATCAACTGTAAGTCGACCCTTTTGACAATTTGCTGGCATTACGATGTTTGATGGCGGCAGTTAGGACGTGTCCAACACTGGGACTGGTGCTCAGCGTTGTCTATGTCGTGTGTCGGTTGCTGCACTGCCTCTACTGTTTTCCGGCATTCGTTCACGAATATTATGATGTATTGAACAGTGGCGAATAGTGTTGTGAATTGCTATGATGTGTTGGTTGTTAACTAGGGGTGTAACGATATACCGGTATATCGGTATATTGCAATATATTTTGAAAACTCGATATATCGCGATACAACTGCCGGATATCGATATTTTACGATACGGTGGTATAACAAGAAATAAATTACTTGACACTTGCCTTTATGTCTATATTGTTAATGGGCTCGAAAATTATGCACTGGCGGTGTATATATTACGAAAGCACAATGCCTGCACGACGCATACAGTATTACTGGTAAGCAACCACTGCATGGAGCACTGCGCGGTACTACTGCGCGGGCAGAGTGGGGCAGCCGTGTGCGCAAGGCAGAGAGCACGGCAACTAGGGAGTCTATTATATATATATAGCCTATGCTCACCTGAGTGCCCGCGCGCGCGCGATACAAGCTGAAGCGAGCACCCACTGTTTCAGTTTCAGTTTTAGTTTCAGTATCCAGTATCCAGTATTAGCCAATTATGCAGCAGGGGTATTGTGTATTCCAGCTACGTCAGTGCCTTCCGAGAGGGTATCCGGGTTTGTCTATATTCAGGCCGG